GTTAACATACAATCCTCATTTCCCGGTTAGTAATTTACCATACCCACCCCACCCCCCATATAGAAAACAATACGACATAGGGCTTATCTTATTTATAATATAGGCCACACACGTGTGTTTGAAACTAAATATAAGCATTATCATCATGGTTTTATTGTTTACAAACATATTTTTCACCATCTATACAGATTGAGGCCCTTCTTTTAGGTTAAAATGATCTATCTTAAATTTGTTTTCTTGAGTTTGGGACTATTATGTGTTTAAATAACTTAAAAGGATAAAACAAAAAAAGGCCTAAAAAATGCGCGCCAAGCGCGCAAAATATTTTTGTGTTTTTAATTCTAATTTCGTTGGAATTGATGAAAAATCCCTAAAATGTGCAATTTATAGAGGAAATTGGCCTACCGTAACAAGAAATGCGCGCAAAGAATTTGAGAATTTTAGGCACTTTCAGAGGATGCATTTGTCAAGGGGTGGAGAAAGATTTTCCAAAGATTTCCAAAGATGGATATTTCCCCCTTGTCCCCCGGTGTTTTTAATTCTAATTTCGTTGGAATTGATCAAAACTCCCTAAAATGTGCAATTTTTAGAGGAAATTGGGCCATGTTAACAAGAAATGCGCGCGAAATTTTTTAGGCACTTTCAGGGGATGAAAGGGCATTTATAAAGGAGTGGGGAAGATTTTTCCAAAGATTGATATTTTCCCCTTGTCCCCCAGTGGTTACGCCATCGGGCAGCATAGATCAAAGGAGTTATGACAGTTTTTGAAGTGGAGAAGGGGTTGCAGGGTGTTGTGAGTCTGGTCATTATGATATCTTACTTTTTATTCTTGTCTTTATTTTTCTCTTCTCTTTTTCTATCCTTTTCTTTTCCTCTTTTTTCTCTTTCCCTCCCTTTCCCCTCTTTCTTTTCTCTTATTACCCAGCCCGGTACGACGGCTTGGTCAGCCCGATAAAAACCGTCAGGGGAGGGGCAGTTTTCCCCCTCCCCCCGCCTGTTACGACACTGGCTAACACGCCAATCATCCCCCCAATGAAAAATATTTTTCTACGCCACTGGAAGACTCCCCAATTCGACCGACCAATCAACATCACCGAAAGCTGTCGGCGATAACGTGTGGCGATTGTATGGAAACTAAGCTTTAATAACATTTCTTTACTCTTTTGATGTCCTTTAAACAATTCGTAATTTTCAAAGTCAAACAACCAGCGAATTGTTTCTATCGGTTTCTCAATGAAAGTGGTATTCGTTCATTTTAAATTTCACCATGGACAGTATCCAATAGAATTAATGCATGTAAATGTCATTTAAGTAAAATGAATATAATATATCAAGGCAATAAATACTTTAAAAAATAATAAGCCTCCCACAAGTTCCACAAAGTAACCGGTTTTATTTAATTTTTTATCAGCAGAATTTACAATCAGAAATAAAAACAAGTATTCACTCGCCAAAACTAAACCCAAAATATACAACTTATTTTACAGAGTATACGAGCATACATTAGTACAATAATTATTGATAATCTACAAAATTATATTTTATTACAGTTAAGATTTACAATGCGTGCCAGAAGCGGCGCCTGGGAAAAACACGGTAGTATAAAAATACGAAATTAACGCATTAATATCAGAAATAGTTAAGCCTAAAAAAAAAAAAATACATATTAAAACAATAAATATGACATCAGAAATTATGGAAACGAAAAACGAGAAAATACTGAAATCGTGTCTACTCGAATCTAAAGCCAAGGTGTGAATATAAAGTTTAATATTAAAACAAGAAACATATGAAAAAATAATAACCGCATTATTGTATTCGTGAGATGATGTAACCACCAGATGACAAACTTTAAATCTAATTTTTTAGATTAAAAACTACCATAATTTGGTATTAATTTTAACATCTGTTTATTAACTTTACTTACAACAACATTGTCGATTTGCTTGCATCACAACCCATCAATGAATCATAAAGGACGATGATAAATTATTGTTCATAAACACATTTCCACGCAATAATATTTATATATCAAGAGTAATAACTATATTATATATATATATATATCTGTCTCTTATACACATCTTATGCTGCCTAGTAGTTGAAAAGATAATGCTTTCGCCTAATGTTTCGCGAATGAAATGAACGAAGTATAACTCGTTTTAAATATGATCGGGTCACCAGTGTACCCTAATGGTTGTGTTAGCTTTTGAGAACTCTAGGCCTACGTTATATATCTCTGAATAAAATATAAGCAATACGAATCGCTTCAAACATATTGAGTATCCACTATACCCTACTGATTGTGAGATGTGTATAAGAGACAGCTTTTATATTGTATATATATATATATATATATACATATATATATATATATATATAATATGAATATTGCATATGTTGCAACAGTATATATCTATACACTGTTGCAACAGATAGATACATATGGAGTAAGCAGTTTCAACATAACCTTTAGGAACACTGATTTTTTTTAGCTAATATTGTTTCCACAAATATGGCCTAATTGGCAGTCAATTTAAACGAAAATAAAATCTGTTGTTCCTGTGCTAATTTTCAATGTGTAAAAGTAGGCAAACCTAGCATAACCAAAAAAATATAAATCTGCAATCTGAATGACCAATTAGTGACCATTAAAACATTGATCAGGCGTGACAGAAAATCAAATGTTAATAAAAAAAATAATTTAACGAAATTAAGAGAGATATGGTAGGATAGTATATTTGACTATCAAATATATTAAATTAGCAAATTAATAAAAAAGGTCTTTCAGCTATAAGCCTTTATCAAGTTCAGAACAATATAAAATATAGATACTGCATAGGAAAATTGATAATGCATAAAAAAAAAAACCATGGAGAAAAGTATTAAGTTGGTGAACAAAATCTGTTATGGAGTTCAGAAATAGACTTAGGCCTATACTTAATATTTAATTGTAAAAGTATAAAAACACTAATGCACATCTGTTTTTTAAGTTGTGTTATTAATATTTGATATGAATAATCTATTTATCATATCAATGCACAACAAAAACAAAAAAAAATTATACAAAATTAACAGACAAAAATTAACAAAATAACCATAAATTATGAAAAATAAGGACTTAAATAATACTTATTATTTTGGTATGGTGTTAAGTATCAATATTTGGGGAAGCATTCTACTCCTTACTTCTATTTCCACATTTCATATTTTCATATCATTTTCTAATGTCAACTAAAGATACAGAAATAATTTATATAATTGCATTTATTATATGTCAATATTTATGAATAGGATTTTGTACAAATAATAGAAACTGTTAATATATTAAATAAAATGCAAGTAAAGAAACAAGTTTTTTGTTTGTTTAACAGATAAACATGAGTCATTTACAATTCAAAAATAAATATAGTCTCTGCCTTACTCTCCATCAACATGCATAACACTAATACACCTTTAACAAGGAATGTTATTTTGCCTTTTTCATAGTTAAAATTCAGCTTACCACATAAGCAAAACTTTTATTTTCGCCAACATATTTGCTTATTTAATCCAAAAGGAAAGTACTTGCATTTCTGTACGAGTTTTATGAGGACATTGGCTTCGTAAAACAAAAGACTAAGAAACAACAAGGATTTTCGAGTTTTGTTTTCTAAATCTTAAAGACAAACTACACTTGTGTGTAATGCTACAATAATCTGCTGATACGTCTTATGTCTTGGTCATTTGAAAAAAAAAATATGTTAGTTAAACACTAGGGGGCAGCAGACACAATGTGTTTGCACACTGTATTCTCATCTTAAGTTTATTGGAGCAGCACACCCATAATTTGAGAAGGTGGGATGATGATGAGAATGGGAACATAATAAGACCAATACCTGAGCTGGGTGAAGACATGAGCTGGGGATAGGTATCTGAGCCTTGGAAAGGAGATCTGACAGAGAAGGGGAAGGGAATGAGCAGTGGTAAATAATTTGGATATGGTAGGCATACCATATCATTGTTGAGGGTGTCAAGTGATTAGCAGTTGTTGAATGGTTCACCCTCATTAAATATGGTTCAAATAAATAAATAAATAAATAAATGTAATAAAAAAAAGTTGTATATTATGTATAGAACAGTCTGCTTCTATGGACTGTAATTACATGAAGCATAAACTTATGAAATTTATAATAGAGGGGGTAAGGTACTGGGAGTAATAACTGGTAAAAAGTAATGCTTTTAAACATACACAAATCCCAGAGTTTAGCACTCTAAGAATTTATGTACTTTCACTAAAACTTAATTGTTTAATGTTAGTTTTGGAATGAAAGAATTTGAGATGGTAACCAGATATTTTGATACTGAAGGCATTGGCAGCTAATTAACCAATCCTGATTAATGGAGGGTGAAGGTTTGGCTTTGTGAGCGAGAGAATGTTTACTCCAACATTGGTTGCCTTGGCATACACTACTCTGAAATTTAGCTTATTTTTAAAAGCTCAATTCAGAAAAAATACAGGCTGGACAGTAGCATTCAGAGACATTTTGGGGGCAGCGCTGCATAGAAATCTAACTATAACTAATGTTAGGCCTATTTTTTAGTGGACCATTCTTTCATTTTCTTTTTAGCGTTGTGCATTTTCTTCGCTGACACTTATTTTGCAAATTTTTTTTCTACACATTTCGACATATTTTCATTTGCTTAATAATAAAGTTTAATTAGGCTTATTTCATGGTGTTTCACAATTTTTTTTAATTGATTTTTCATACATTTTTCATTTTTTTGCAGGTATAGTTTTATAACTTTTTGACAGGTTTGTATAGAAGCGAACACAAATAATATAATATTAACACCTTTATGAGGGTTTGATGCCATATCCTTGGTGATGTGCATGCATGCTTTAATCACCTCCGTATTCTTATGTGCGTGTAATGTACAGTTTTACCATAAATAAAGAAACCTAAAATGAAGATTATAAACATTATAGCAAAGGGACAATGTAGAAAGGTATACACAATACGTATGTTTGTTGGAAGAATTCAATATAAAATTGCAACACATTTTTAGTATTTCAGCAAAATAGGTTGGCAGTTTGCAGGATTGGCACATTTATCACTTGCATCATATTAGCATTTTACCATTGTTTAGATTGATCATGGAAATTGATAGTATATCCCATCAACATTTTACATCCATGGGAACATTAAATGTATCTGAATTGAAACAACAGTTTATTTCCATAGAAATACTGCATACTACTGTATATCCATAGAAACACCATACTGTTATCTTCATATTAACATCATTGTATCTCCATAGAAAATAACATAACCATAGCAACTTTGTTGTATCGCCATGGAATATCATTTTATCTCCATAGATACATAAACTCCAAATAAAAATCATTCATCTCAAAACAACACCACATTATTTCTGTGACATCATCTTCATGGAAGCATGCTAGATGGCCGTAGAAACATGAACACAGCACAGCATTGGGCACGGATCATGTCATGAGCTTCCTTTGAAGAAAGAGATTGCTTCTTCCCAGTTCTTTTCAGGAAAACGTGACTCTAAAGACATTCGTGTTGATCCATCTCTCTCTTTTTCTTTTTCTATAGAAAGAGATATACAAGAAAATGAATTTTATAAATGTCAAAGCATCAGAAAGATTAAAGACAATATGTCTGGAATACGAAAGCATGATGACAACATCGAAAAACAAGTAGAATGATAAAAACATGCTGCATTTCTTAGTAAACATTTTTAAAAAAAATGTTTTTTAAATTGAATTATTTTCATCTTGTTATGTTCTACAGTAGTTTGTATACACTTATATGTCTTATGTAAATGTCACAGGACCCCAATTTACATCTGTTGTGATTGCTGATTATGGTTCAAATGATGAATGTGAATAAACGATAAACAAAGTACTGCAAGTTTTGATAACAATACAGTATATCATGAACAACCTTTGTGAAGAAATCCACTATTTATATTTAAGTAAGCAATATAAGAACTGTTTAGTTTACATACAGTTTTTGACTGCTTTAAGAAACTAATTCAGAAAACACACTTCCCCCACATATAGCAGCAGCAAAAATACATTTACACACTACATAATATTCATAATCATTTCAACTCCAGGCAAAGAAGAATGTACAACATGTAAATAACTGACTGAAGAAAATTATCATTTTTGTTTTATGAAGAGATATCTACACAAATGCTTGGTCACAGCGTTAATTTAAAAAGGCTTAGTTACGGCAATTTTCATAAAGAATGTTAACACAAACATAACAGAAATGAGATATGTCAAATATAATAAAAATAAATATATGTTCTTGATAAACCTTTAAAAATTACAAGAGCAAACAAACTGTAAATATCTACCTGAATTTTAATCATGAAAATAAAAAGAGAAGCATTGATGTCACTTCTTCAACATTATTCCTAACACTAACTAAACACTACTTTAAAGCAACTTAAAGGACTATGTAACCAATACATTCATTGTGAATGCTATATAAACACTGGGAATGGTTAAATAGATGTAGTGCCTAATTGCTTGGCTGAGGAGCTGGGTTCAGTCATAAATAATTGATTAAGAAAAGCCGAATATTTATACTACTGACATGTGTAAGTGTTTTAGGAACAATATTATTTCAGTTGAGTAAATAACAACTTTGTTAAATGTAATGCTTGCATTAGTCATTTAATTAATAAGTAAACAATCAAAAATCCAAAGTAAACATTTGTATCCATTAACTAAATAGTTATTTATTTATTTATTCCAGAACTAAATAAATATTTGGAAAGTAGTTGAAAGTTGAAAATGTAATATATAGTAAATATCCCAAATTATTAATTATATGCTATTATCATTAACATTTTAGTTACTAATTTTTACTATAAAAGTATATTTTAAATTTAAAAATAAATGAATGAATGAGTGAGTGAATGAGTAAATGCATGAATGAATGAATGATTAGCGTAGAAATTTGTTAACAGTTTGATAATGTAAATAATTTTGTTTTGGTAGAACGGTAAAAAAAAAACCCCAATATACTGCGTTTGTCAAAACACCATTTTATCCGGTGAAAAACAAATTCTCTTGCCACTAAACCAACCTTTTTTAATAAACAGAGAAAAAAAAAACCCCTTTGTTCAGTTCACTGAATATTATGCTGTCCAGATTAATCAACTTTAATTTTATAAAATTGTTAAGATATTTGTTAAAATTTTAAACTTATACTTTAATTTATGATTGCGATTGTAAATGAAGGAGTATAATTAATTAAATTTTGTTAGCCTTCTGGCTTCCATTAATCTCCCTTGAGATTATGAATCAAAGAATTTTTTAAATTATTGTATGAAATCTTAGAGGAAATAAATTTGACTGAAGGGAGTCATTTATTTCCTTCTAAATATTGCAAAGCTGTAGAGATATCGTAAGTTGTTGTCGTTATCTTCCTCTGCTCACAATAAATCCGCCAGATCACCTATTTCAGCTGGCGAATGGTAAACGTTAATTAAAGATCCGGTGACGTCAATTCTCGAGACCGCCTAAAACAAAAGCGGCGACTAATGGCCAGCATTGATCCTTGGTACTTGCACCGAACCACAGTGCAACCTCTTAATCTATAATTACACGTTCCTGGATGGTATTGACCGGCCCGGAATCAATAACGACAGAAGAAATATGCATTTACAGAGGGAATACTTGGGATGATTAATTGATCGAAATCATCGTCGGTTGTCGGATGCGAAAAGTCAATCAATGGATACGGCAACACTGTATCTCTGTAGCCTTTTGGTTTAGATGAGTTTGCTGCCTCTGGCCCTAACTGAAATGAGCCAATCTTGACATATCGCACTGATTTGTCTCAGTTTTTTTCGCCACATCAAACACACGTTAAAGTGGTTTTGACATATGCTTCAAGCTAGCCGAACTAGAGCTTGCGGAGTTGAATAAATTATTTTCCAGTCTTCATAATACAAACAAAAAATGCCTCAAAATAATCTTTAAATGCTTCCTTGTTTTTGCAAATATCAAACATGATTTTCATATGTAAATCCAAGCAGCAGACAATTGTCTGAAAAACTGTAATGATGACGATGGTGAGGATGATGGCTTTGATAGAAGAGGATGATGATAGAGTGATGATAATTTTAATACAAATGGCAACAACAATGAATACAATGATGACAATTATAAACATGGTTGTGACAATAAATGATGATGACATTGTTGATGGTAATGACAAAGATGATGATGATGATGATAATAAAAATTGTTCTGATAATTATCATGAAAACAATAAAATAAAAACTGCTGATGCTAGGTGAGAAAAATTCAGAGGTTATGAAAGGTCACAATCTAAATTACTGATAGTCATCGCACTTCCAGAACACAAAGCAGGCATTAATGCTAAGCTTTCTGCTTGTCTGGTTACATCACTTAAAACAAAGCATTGTAGGAATTCCTTCCCTTTGTCATAGTAACGAGAATGTAAACATACAATTTTCTTACTGTAATAAGGAAGCCTTTGGGGAGTGTTTAACTTAGTAATTTAATTATTTGTGTACAATAATTTGATAAATTGAATCAATTTTATCTGTTTTAATATTATTGTGAAATAGGTCACATTGGAACCTTTATGCTTTATTACTAGTATTCATCTTGCGATGTTTTTTATACTAATTTTGGTTTCATTACCGTTACCACACAAGTAATTGTTTTTTTTTTTTTTTAGATTTACTATCACATCATAATTCAGAAATTTTTCATCTGGTTATGTCTTGTTTTATTGCCTATGGTTGTAATAATTTTGAAGATAGTGATTCAGTGGATGAATGTATCCATCAAGACAAAAAAACTGGATGGATGGATGGACGGATAGATCGATGGATGAATGAATGTGTCAGAATAAAGCAGACTAAATAAGGTTGCAAATCAGTGGTGCCTAGATCATTGATTCAATTTTTTTCACAACTAAAATTAACTCTGGTCCCTAAATGTATTTTATTCATGAGTTAAATCCTTTACAATTATATTTATTCAAATTTACATGAAATACACAATTTCACAAAACAGAAGAATATATAAATATTAAATGGAACAAATTTATATAAACTTTTAATTGATAATAATATAAATACACAACTATAAAATTATATTGTAAAAATTACAATATTGTTATAAAAATATATTACTGGTATTAAAACTAAATTACATTGAAAAATATATTATAATATAAATACACAACTATTAATTTAATAAAATAAAAAATTTAAATAAAAATATAATTCATAAAATAAAGTGTTTTGAGTGATATCTGCACCTAGCCCTTTCATATCAGATAACATTATTGTATAATAAACAATTATCATAAAAATACCCGGTTTAAAAAAACAATTAATTTTCGTAGGAGTTAATCCCAGTTTCAAAATTTATCAGTAAAAACACCGTCAATACGATTTGAACCCATTTCATGGTACAACACCGAAGTACTATTCACCAAGTTCATTGGCTAGACAACTGACGTCTAAACAATGAGAGTAATCAAGGGAATAAATCAAGATTCGATTCAACAAAGTTGCGTACCACGCAGTGATGTAAATCAACTCATCCGAGCTCAGCAGAATGTATTATTACCCCCAAATTCTTCACAAATGGATGCATCTTTGTTACAATGAGATTCAAGTCAATAAGTGTGATTTTCTCTTCTTCCCTGCAGTCACCTTATAAATATCCTTACGGACTAATTCACCAATGCTCCCTTAATACATGACGCAATGTTAACATAGTCTCAGGTTTGCATGTTTATGGAATATTTCAAGTGAACCTAAATTCATCCTCCTGTTGTACAAAAATGTAATCATCCTTAGCAGTTTTGCCTTTGAATGGCTGTAAAGTAATGTAATATCTAGATGTGCATGTTGATTGAATTCATGCATGAATGTCACAGTGTCATGGGTAATAGTCACCATAAATCCCTGTCAACACTACCACAATTTATTTGAAAAAAAACATGACATGCCTAAATAATGGTAATGACGACATCACATCATGACTATATATAGGCACTTCATGACTATATATGGGCATACAACAGTTTTTTTGCCAAACGTGCATCTTCCTTGGCTTTAGTTTAATATCTTAATAAATGTTTTACACTCTTGGGTCAAATAGCTTGCAGAAATATATTCCTATCAAGAATTCAATAAATCACTCATGACAGAGATACGATTTATGTATTAAATTCTCGAGAACAAGATGAATTGCAAATAAAAAACTATTCTTATAAGGAAATAGGATAACAACAATCATAGAAATAATAAATAACAGTAATTAAAATAACTTTCATCAAAAATATTAAATAAAGAAATTTTAAAAATCCATATTTTTAAAAAAAAGTTTGTTGGTAACTTTATACAAAGCTTTTTACAATAGAGATTTCCAGTGACTGAAGACTAATGCGAAGAAAGTTATCTACAAATTTCTGTTAAGACTACATAGGTGGCTACAATCTATTTGCGTTTTAAAGCCCGTTTACCAGCAAAAGCACAGAATTTAAACCAAAGAAAATGATTTCTTAACACAGCAAAAAGGTCATGATTTCCATCCAATGGTCATCAAATGACTATCTTGTTGGTGTCATGACTCATCCGTCACAATGCCATCCCTGAAACCATCAGTCACCGCACTCATTAATCACATCTTCCTTTCATCCATCATCCACCAGTTCATCATCAGTTCATTTATTTCCTTGGTTCACCCATCCTTCATGTGTCACCGCATACGTCAATCCATTCCGCTGTATCTTGACGTACACACCAAGGTATAAAATATGTAATATAATTTTTAAAATAAAATATCAGATCATCTATATATTATTTATCTGTATCATTCTAAGACATAACATGAACTGGGTTGTAGAGGCCCAAGAATATGGCTGACTGACATACATTAGTGGTTACCCATATTTTCATCATTTTAACAACAGTGTATACTCCTTTATGAAAATGATAATGATGAATTCAAAGCCTCAACAATCAATATTTAATATTGTACTCTTTTGAGAGTGAGAGGGCACTTGTTTTTTACTCTCTACAAAATGATGAAAACATGGACAACCACTTTAT